CAGCTTTCTTTAAGAGCTTTTCCTCTAACAGAAGGAATGAGGGCCTCTGTTGGTAATGGTGATGCCAATCTTACTATTAAAAATACCGTAAAATACAAAACAAGTTCTGAAGTGATTTGGAGGATGAAGTAGCTCTGCCCAGTTGGGAACATGTAGGAGGCTTCATGCAGAGGTGGTATTTGAGGTAGGTGGATAGAGTAACAGGAGAGGCCAGGGAAAGAGATTTGCTGGCAAAAGCAAGAAACTAGGGTTTTAGGGAACGGATGAGTGGGGCTCGTTTTGCCCAGGGCAGTGGAATTCAGGTCTGCAAGGTAAAACAGTTAAGGTAGCTTGGGGTCATGTTGAGCAGTTGTCGTAATCCAGGGAATCCACGGACTAGTAGCAAGGAACTAAAGGGAGGAAAACAGATTTAAGAAACTCTTTGGAGGTAGCTTCAGCAGAATGTGGGAGTGGGAGTGGGAGGCCGTGAAGAAAGTAAAATGGAGGCTGGCACCAGGCACCTTCTTTAGAGCAGGTGGCCTCTCAGAGACCTGAGTGACAGGCATGTTCCAGGGGTCCAGGCAGAGGAAATGGCTGGCACAGAGATCCTACCTAAGGCAGGAGGGACTTGGGGTGATGTGTTCAGTTGCACCAAGGGCATCGGACTGGAGTTGAGGAATGGCGGGGAGAGCAGTGGGAGGTGAGCTTAGAGAGAGGCAGGCCAGATCATCCAGGGCCTCACGGGCTTGGCAAAGGATTTGGATTTTATTCAAAATATATCTGGCAACTACTGGAGGGTTTTAAAGGACATACTCTGTGTAACTGTTTCAAACAAAGGATGATTCTGGCTGCTCTTTGTAGAAAGGATTTTAGGGAGGCACAAGTGGAATTAGGGACACTAGGTCAAAGGTCATAGTGGAAGTTCAGGCGAGATAGAATGTTGAGAAGTGGATGACATTTCAGAATGAGTGACCAAACACTGGGGGGGACGTCAAGCATATCTAACTGGGCACGGACTGTGCAAACGATAATGAAGAATGGACAGTTTCCTTCTGGATACCTAGAAGGATTTTTTTCAGTACTTTAATAACTAACATGCTTATTAAATAACTATCAGAAGTGCTTATTTTGTAGAGGTCTGGGTCAATACGAAATATGACATAAATATGACATAAAATATGACAAATATGACATAAATATGACATAAAACACTAAGTGAAAAATCTGAGTTAAGTGGATTTTGATATGTAGCTTAAATGTGATCGGATGTTGGCTCATCGCTTGGTACGCAACAGTGTAGTCTCAAAATGAAATTGGGCTTTCTTACACAATTTGAAGCCATTTCCTGAATCTTTTTGTCTTGTGTAATGTATTTATATTTCACCTTAGACTCTCTGAAACTGCAATTTCCCCATCTGTAAAATAAGGATCATAGCCTTGCATTGCAGGTTATTTTAAGAATTAAATGACACAGAGCTTGGCGTAGAGGAGGAATTTGGCAAAACCCTAGTTACTGTTAATAACAGTCTGGGGAAATTCCTCAGTAGCATTTCTCTGAATCATTAAGAAAGATACCGTTTTGCTGGCGAGGAAGCCAATTTCCAAAGAAGTTAATTGAGATGATTCAAATCATCACGCGAGCCTTTGCTAAAGGTAGAGCCAGCATCTGTGTGAAGATAAGCTGGAGACGCCTTGTCCCTGTGACATATACTGGAGGGACCTGAACTGCACACTGGCCTCCATGATTGCTCCAGAGATGTGGGCCTCCCTGATCCTGGTCCAGATACATGTGCTGTCCCCCGTGTTTATCGCCTCCTACTTTGGGATTGTTGCTTAGTTCCACTGCTATGTCTCAGGACCTGTTTGTTTCAAGAGCTGGCAGAGCAGGTCTGAGCACTGAAAGAATTGTGTGTCTTCTGGCTACAGCTCAGAAAGAGACAACTTGCGGGAAACAAAAGAACTTGCCAGTATTTTAATTTTACTTTCCAGTATATTCATTTCTTTCATCGTTTTTTCTTTAGAATTTTAGACCATTGTATCAAATGCCAGAAACAAAGCAGTACTGCTGTTTTAAGCCTGTATTTGGTAGTAATTAATCAGGTTCTGTGTACTTTTTCCTCCTTAAGTAGGGATAGTAAAAGGTTTAATAAAGTTATCCTGGACCTAACATAACATACCATTCTAACAAGTCTTAATGATTACCTATAAAATATTAACACTTTTATTCATATTTCCTTATCGAATTTAACAATAATGAAGAATGGACAGTTTCCTTCCTCTTGCATTATATTGCAGACCTTTTACATGGGACTTAGAAAAAAGTATAAGCCACTACCTTTTTTTTTTTTTTTAATTTAACAATGTTTTTCTTTTCTGTCAGAGCAAGTAGTAATGAGCCTATTACTCAAATACTCGAGAGAAGAATAATCGTGACCAAGTACAAGCGTCTGTGACGTGATAGTCATTGCAGAGTGCAAGCAGATAGGAAACAGGCTTCTTTCCAACGTGAAAGGAGAGATATATCCCATGTGAGAAGAACAGCATTGTGGTTTTGAGAATTATAATGTGCATATTGTCCTTGGCATTTGCTTAATCTCTGGAAATACCTCATTAATGTTTCCTCTGTGGCTTTTTTGTTGTCTTGTTACATTTTTAACTACTTTAAACCTTTTTTCTTTAAAGCACATCTTGAACTTTTAAACTTAAGTAAGAAAGAATTCTAATGTGTGAAATTGTTTGATTAAGGAAAAATACCTTAACAGGATACAAGTTTTTGAAACACTTTTATATCCTGCTTTTTAAAGTTTATGGTAGGAGATTCTTGTTTAAAATTATACATTGAAGATATTCTAAGCTTACTTTCAAAAAGATTAATACCAAAGATCAGAAGATTCTTATTAATAGTCACTTCCAGCTTGTCACCATGTGAATATTGATGGAGTCACATTGATAAAATCATTTGACTTTTTCACTTCAAGTCAAAGAGTAAATGTGACTGAATCTTTAATGTTTGATACTTTTAAAGTATTTTTTGTTAAAGAATTTGTCTTTTCTCATCCATTATCATTTTTTCATATACCTCATTCTCAGGTAATCCTAAGTCTTTTCACTGCTTCTCAAATGTGACTCAAGTTTGAGATATGGAAATAGTTACTGGTGTTTGTGTGTGCGTGTGTGTATCTTATGTGCACCATGAAACCATCAGGCAAAGGGATTTAAGATAGTAATCTTTCCCAAAATGGAGTGATAGGAGTCATTTTATTTGTTTCTCTTCATCTAAAGAGATTAACATATCTAAATAGACTTAACAGTTTTCGGTTGTAGATGTTTTTCGTATAGTTCAAGTAAAATGGCAAGTAATTTCTGTTTGTTTGAACAGGATGGTGAGAGAGGGCATTTTCTTTTTGAGAAAAATGATCATCGTGTCTTACAATGTAAAATTCACGCGGGTATTTCAAGTTATTTTGGTAAGACATTTATAGTCTAGTAATATTCTCTAGTATTGTCCCTCTTTATATTGTTTAATTATACTGTGCTTTTCATCAAGTGAAATTAGAGGCACATACCTTTATAAAAGACAGCTTTATGCTGAATAAATTCTTGCCCTTGGAGGTGGCAAGCACAGCTTTAATAAGAGAAAATGAGACATTCTCTGTGGTAAGCAGTTTTGACCCAGTTTCTAAAATCTGGGTAAAGAGGCACAACACCCAGGCTCTACCCGTACAACCTAAGGACCTTACATGAACTGTGTAGTTATGAATGAAATGCTAATACAGTTATGTGGGTTATTTTTAAATTAATTTCTAATCACACAGGCGACATATCACTTCATTCCTCTTGTTAAAAAATACAAACAATACAAATTCTCCTCCAGTAGGAATGTCCATCCTGCATAAAAATAGAGGCACATTGTACAATTATAGAGTGAATGTTCAGTATCCTCAGAGGAAAGCCTGTTCACTGTTTCTAAAAAATGTGTGTTTATTTATGTCAGGTTGCCCTGGGCCAAGGAAAAATTTGAACCCCTCAAGGTTGAAGAGGAGGAGACCCACAGGACTGTGATTCTGGCCTGTGGTAGAACAAGATAGAACAGGTAGAATTAGAAGGGAAGGAACATTCTTGTTCAAGGATACACTTAAGTTTGTACAACTTAATCTAGTTAAAGCCAAACCTATGTGGAAATTGCTATTAGGAGAAGTTATCAAACTCAATATACATGTTCACATATACATATCAAATAATTTCATTAGAACCACCAATAAACTTGAAATGGAAAAGATGTGTTATTCTAATTCTTGCTTATTTTGTGATTCATCCACAAAATGTATACATTTGTTGACTGCCACTGTGCATGGATGGCAGGGATTTTCCGTACATTATTTCTAATGTTCTTATTTCTGGTTTACAGATTAGGAAACTGAGACTCAGAGATGTCAATAGTCTATCCCAAGGCCACATAGTTAGCAGAGAGAGGTTGGATGCTATCACTGAGACAGGCTCTTTTCTTGGCATCATGCTACCTTGGAGATCTGCTAAGATAATCAGTTTCTGGGATGTACAAGTACAGTGGTTTAATGTCTTTGGCTCATTAAATGTCAGAAAAGTTTTGAATTCTCATTTTAATGTCATTGTAATTTTCTGAACATCTTTTTTATGACAGAAAAGACACTCTCTAAATGTTTAACCACAGGTACTAAGTCAGCTCTGACCCATCAGAATAGGCCCTACTTGTACATCAGTTGAATGTCAACTCATGTTTAAGGCCTCAGGAAGCCCAATTAATAGCAATATAGAGTGTTTTAAACTCCTCTGGCCTTAAAGTTAATATTTAAAAAGAAAAAACAGAATCATTCTCAAAATCCTCACCTTAATCTGCTCTTAGCTATAGTTACAAAATTCTGATTTCAATCTCTCAAGTAGTTTTGGGGTTTGTTTGTATTGTTGGGTCATTGAAAACTTGAAGTAAATGAACCTGCGAAATTTCATGACTGAGTGTCTGCCCTGTTTTTCCCTTTTTCTAGGTCTATTATTAGCAGAAGATTTTTCTGCATAGTTGGCACGCTGTACCTGTATCGGTGTATTACAATGTATGTAACTACACTCCCAGTACCCGGTATGCATTTCAACTGCTCTCCGAAGGTAAACCATTCCTTGCTGTAATTTCCCTTTTTGTTTGTTTCTCATCTTGCCCAGGGGTCCTTTGATGTAGGCCAAAGGTAAAAATTTCTTTAGAATAGAATCAAGTCCCTTTGCCTTCATCTGGGAACGTTACTAAGCAATACAGCTAGGTGGCCCCACCCTTCTTAAAATTCCCAAACCCCAGTGCTTCGCAGCTGGGGAAATATGTGGTCTAGTTAGTGTGATGGAAGCAGTTAAGCTTTGTGTGTGGGCATAGCTCTTTGGTTTCCTGCCATACTTTTAAAATATCATTCTCTCCCTTGATACAGATCCAGAAGCTTTTATATGCGTTTTCCCTCTCTTAGATGGAAGGTTCTGTTTCAAATGATATTTTTTCCTTCTTTCTATTAATCCCTACAGTGGGAATCCGTAACAGCAGAGCTAGAGACACTATTCCTGTCCCTTTGCACCCTCCACCCACCCAAACAAGATCTCTCCTCCCTGGCGGGACATTTTGCTGTATCGATCTTCTCTAGTAGCATAGAAGCTTTTCTTTAAAATAAACTTTATTCCTCTTCTATTGTCTCTACCTTTCCATCAGATTCATGTAATACTCCTTACCCCAACTTTTGCCTTGGAATAATTTCAACTGGGGAGATCATCGGAATTTTATGAAATAATTAACAGGAGATTTAGTTTTAAAAATGTCTAACTACATTAAAGCTTTTTAATGTAATAAGAAGTAGAAGAAGCTCATTTCCTCGATTTGGGTGGGAGAAAAAATGGAATGCTGTGTGTTTGGAATCATTTCTTCACATCGCACTTGTGCTAGTGAAACATCCTTTCAATTTCATCCATTTGTACTTTTGTTACTTCCAGAAGAGACATTCTCTCTGATAGAACCTTGGAAGAGGGCTGAAGAATCCAGTCCCTTGGAAGAGGGATTTTTTTTTTTTTTTCGGTACGCGGGCCTCTCACTGTTGTGGCCTCTCCCGTCGCAGAGCACAGGCTCCAGACGCACAGGCTCAGCGGCCATGGCTCACAGGCCCAGCCGCTCCGCGGCATGTGGGATCCTCCCAGACCGGGGCACGAACCCGTGTCCCCTGCATCGGCAGGCGGACTCCCAACCACTGCGCCATCAGGGAAGCCCCGGAAGAGGGATTTTTAAAGTGGTGTCTTTATCATTTGAAATTCTGGATCTCTTTAGGTTGCTTGCTTACTGTGGTCCCCTTCCTTCCTAGACTTACATACGTGCTCAGAGAGGTAGCTAGTTTGTTACTGCCCTCTTTCCGTTTTTGCTACAGTCTGTTTCCGTAACTGGAGAAGCCGTCATAAGGAATGAATGATCCCAAGGTTCTACTCATCTGCATCAGCAATCCTGCCTCTCTGCATCTCCTTGCTCTTTCTTCAGCCCTTCCAAGGAAAGCCAGCCTCACATCTTCTTTATCCTCTATGAAAGCTCTCAGGCACTTGCCTACAGCTCCTGACTTAGACAAAATACCTTGTTGTCACTGAGGACCCAGTGATGTAGACTCCTGCTGGGAGGCTGGCTTGATAAGCAAGTGTGTTCTCAGTAGTAGTTCGGTTCTTAAAAAAGTCTGTGCCTGGGAAGTTTCTCCACCAAGGAACATGTCATACCAGTTTAGGTAGATGTGGGATCTGGTCCAGCCCATGTTGAAGATGGACCCAGCATCAAGGGGTCGTGCTGTGTGTGTGGCCTTTCTCCCTGATCTGGTTCCAGCCTTGTTTCTTCTTAGGACCTCTGCAGCTCCACCCAGTTGCCGGCACCCCCACACTTGGTTAGTATTGGCACTTACAGAGTCAGCTTGAGTCATCAGCACATCCAATCAAGATCCCATAGCTAAATATAGCTTGTGGGTTTTCTTGGTAAAGACAGAGGTAATGGCAGGGACAGTATGCAAAACCAGACCCCAGTGTGTCGCTCATGTATCATGCTGCCAGAAACCCCGACTAGGGCCATCTTTCTGTGACAGTCTTCTGGAAATTAGAATCTTTAAAGTATACAGGAGGGGGTAAAATGTTAGCAAAAATTATTAGTAAAAACTCACTAAATCTAATTCTTTTGTAGAACAGAGTTCTTGGAAGAATGGGTTCAAAAACACAGTTTTTTGTTCTGAAATTTTTCAGCTGTATTCCAGAGAGAAACCAGTATAAGGAACCACCGTGTGCCAGTACCCAGACTCAGTAGTTACCAAGATTTACTACATTTGCTTCATCTTATCTTCTGTTTTTCTTTTGAAGTATCTTAAAGCAAACCCCAGACAATGTTATTTCATTGCTACATACTTAATATGCATCTAAAAATTTTGGACATTTTATCTCATAACTTTAACGCTGTTGGTACATTCGGCACAATTAACAGTAATTCCTTGGTATTGGCAATTACCAACTCGTGGAATATCTTGATTGTCTTAAAAAACGCCTTTTAAAAAAAAACAGTTGGTTTGTATAAATTAGGATCCACAGTCTTTATATTACATTTAGTTGTTCTGTCTGTTAAGTCTCTACATTCTAGAGCAGTTCCTTCTCTCCTCCCCACCCCCCGTTTATTTTTTTTGGCATGCGGGATCGAACTTGTGCCCCCTGCAGTGGGAGCTTGAAGTCTGAACCGTTGGACCGCCAGGGAAGTCCCCCCACCCCCTTTTTGTAAACCCCGTCAGTAACTTACAGAGATCAGAGCAGTTGTCCTGTAGAATATCCCACATTCTGGACTTACCTGTTTGCTTCTTTCTAGTGTCAATTAACTTCTTCCTCTCTCCTCCATATTTCCTCTAAATAGAAAGTTGGCTCTGGAGACTTGATTCAGTTGTTCTAATTTCTTTGGCAAGAACACTTCACAAGTAAAACAGAATGATTTCTGAAGCTAGACAGAAGACTCGGAAAAGGTCTTGAAGGCTCAGTGCTGCCTCTTGGAGATCAAACTTAAGAAACTGAGAGGTCAGACAAGGGTCAGAACACTGCACTGGGGAACAGTGTCAGAAGGGAGCGAGAGATAGTGCTCGAGAGAGATCCCAGAGACCACCTCTGCCTACCTTAGAGCCCTACCCAGGGCTTGGTTAGTCAAAACGGAAAGGACCCTTACTGAAAGTCATCCAGTCCAGTGTCTCAATATCCTCGCCACCAAATCTTGATCAAACTCTCTCTGAACCATTGCACCGAGAGGGGACTCATTACCCTGTAAAAATACAAACCTACCCACCAGTGGAAAGAAAACTGAGGTCAGAGTGAGGATGATGTCGTCCAGCACTTACTAGCTGTGCAGCAGTTGCATTTAACTTCTCAGAGCTGCAGTCCCTTTGTTGGCAAGACAGGGCTTATGGCACTTTTTATACCATCTTAAGGAGTTGCAAGAGTGAAAGAAGGCAGTAAATACACAGGGCTCTGTAGATGTAAGATGCTGTACAGAAATAAGAAAGCTTGGTGTGGCCATCACACCTTAACGCCTAGAGTCTTATTCATCCAGAGAAAATGTATTTAACGTGCATTAAGCACCTGCTGTGTCTGAGGTACTGGAGTGCAAGGGGGTGAGCAACGTAGAAGCCCCTGACTTTGTGGAAAGTGCTTTAAGACCACCTCATCCGAACTTTCATCTTATATAATGTGGAAAATGCTGTGATATAAGGACCTTAAGCTAAGCTGCTGGCCGTAGGGATAAGAGAAGTGGAGACAGATTTGAGCAATATTTAAGTGGCTGAATCAGTACAGCTTAGCAATACATTTGATGTAGGGAATAAGGAGAGAAAGGAAGGATTTCAAAGGCAACTGGCTTTTACCACTGGCATAATTATAAGGTAAGGAGGAAAACGGAGTTAATGACTTCAGATTAAACAAATAGAGTCTGAGGTACTTGTGAGATATCTAAGTGGTGGTGTCCAGGCCAACTAGCAGTCTACATCTGAAATTGAGGGAAAAATCAGCGCTAGAAATTAAATATGTGGTTCATCATATTCTCGGTGGTGTTAAAGCTGTTGGTATGGATGAAAAGGCCAGAGACAGGACATTAACGTACGATGCTTCCAGAATTGGTTATCCCCTGACTTGAGACACCATCTAAGGCCTGTTGGTTGGTGGATATTCTTATGGTTATCAGTCATCATTAAACTCCAAGGGAAGGGAGTTGAGCTTTAGAATACGACTTTGTTTAACATGGGCGCGTGAACTTAAACTTGGTTCTGCCAACATGCAAAGCCCCATAATTAGTACACTTAATTCTTCCCTTAATACCAGTATTCAAAACGCATGGCTTCTAAGAAAAATGTTTCAACAGGTATGCAGTAGTAATTAAGAAAATTGTTCCTAGTGTTCATTCACTTGATGGCAGTGTACTCTTTACTTCACAAAATGTCATGGCTTAGAGAAGTAATCGTCATGTGAAATGATGAGGTGAGAAGAGAAGGGGGCCTGTCATCAGATGCTCCTGCAACAGAGATGAGCTGCTGGGGCGTGAGAAGGGAAGGAAGCTTTCAGTTCCTGGAACAGAAGCTTCTGGGAAGCACTAGTCCTGTATCCCAGTGGGTGTGCGTGGTGGGCTTACGAGGCTGCCAAGTTAGTGCAACCTTGATTACCCCTTGTTAATCTCAACACAGCTTTTCTCCAAAGAGCATGTGTCCCAACCAGAAAACACCTTCTTGTCATCTTGTTCTAACTTTTTAGGATTCAGTTTTTTAAAATAAAAAAGGCAGAAACATTTGAGAATTCTTCTATGTCCTAAGCTTTATGTAAGAAATTTTTGTTGTTGTTGTTTTAGCAAACTCCACAAGAAAAAAAAAGAAAGAAAAAAAAACCTGCCCCAGATAACACAGATACATTAATGTTATTGGAAGAGAAGGAATAACTTATGCTGTTTTCAACTCTCATTTTAATAATCACTTGAGTTAATCTAATGCCTAAGCATTAAAGTGAGATTCATGTTGGTTCTGGTTTTTGGTCTCCATGGTGACCTTAGATTTGAAAACCTTCAAAACGAGAGAGTTACGTTACATCCTGGGTACTTGGCTGGC